GTGTGTGTGTGTGTGTGTGTGTGTGTGTGTGTGTGTGTGTGTGTGTGTGTGTGTGTGTGTGTGTGTTAGGAGGCAGTGAAATAGACAGTGAAGAAGAGAAAAATAGGGAGGTGGTTTTTTTGTGCCTGTGTAACTGTATTTGTGCTTCTGCTTCTGTGTATCTGTGAGAAGAGGGTGTGTGTGCAGCAGTGAATGCAGGAAAACCTCATATTTGTGTGCGTAAGAGAGAGAGAGTTGGGGAGATGAGGTTTATAATTGGGCAGATTTGCCTCCGACTGAGATAATACCCCCTGGGGAATGAAGACAGAGGAAGCAAAGAGGGAGAGAAACAGAGATAGAGAGGAAGAACAGAACAACGGAGGAAAAAAAGAATGAAAGCATGAAAGAGAAAAGGGATGGAAAATGACGGAGGCAGAAAAGCAAAATAGGAGGTAAAAAGGGTAGCATGAAGGTGAGAGAGGGAAGCATGGGACACACAGAGAGCGAGAATGTGTTGAATCTGGGTTGGAGACAGCAAGGGATAACACGGTAGAGGAGAAAATTGGAGGTTAAGATGAGTGACAGTTTGATAGCAGAAGAGATTTTGGGATGCAAGAGGGAAGAATAACTTGATGCCTTAGTGTGAGATTTCTAAACAGAGTAAATATTTTAGGTGATAATGGATGATCGGCTTTAATTTGAAAACATGCAGCAGACTAAGGAAGAAAGTTTAGGCTCTAATCTGATCATACACGGATATAAAGCCTAGGGCTTCTCTGCCGAGAATAAATTTGAGACCAATTTTGCAGGCACACTGGCATGCAGGCTGTTATTTAATAAGGAAATGGTCACATCTAGAGCATGTCAAGCTCAGAAATTCAGCCCAACAGTTCAGAAATGTTTGCACCCTGAGTGAACCTTGAGTTTGGTCCTGGGCCGAGTGTCAGTTAAAGTGTGCTTATCCTTTTAATTAATTAAAGAGCTACTCAGGGGCTCTGTTTGTCTTCAGAGTTCTTGACAGTCACTGTGGTGCCTCTCAAGGTTAAATCCATCACACTTCATTTTTCATTATTTCTCTTGACCCTTGTAAGAAACTGAGATATTTCAGAAAATCTCTTCTGCTCCGATGTTATCTAGTTTCTTTCAATTTGCATTTATAAATTCCCGTTTCAAATTGGTTTCAGCATAATTTCCCAAATGCATTCTCTAATAGTTCACACTGTGTCCATATGTGTCCAGTCAAAAATAATGCCCCCCAAGCATAATTTATACCATAAAAATCTGTCTTTGTTAATTAAGGGTGCAGTAATTCATTGTTTCATTGTCTTTGCATAAAGTTACATGTCTTCAGAGTCTCTACAGACCCAGAAAAATAGAAAAGATTACCATGCATGTCTCTACAGATCAGAAAGAATGAAAAACAACCGTTTGGGTAGGTAGCCACCTTAAATAATAATAATAAAACAATAAAATCAGATAATCTGGCTGGGTGGAAAAAATGGCTTGAGAAGCATGGGTTTTTCTGTTTATGCTATAAATTTAGACAACAGACTTGGTAGCTAACTGACATAAATAACACATCATTAACTATATGTTGGTTCCCTAAAGTCAGTTTACATTAACATTAGGGGTACTCAGGCAGAAAAGGCATATCGGGCAGGTTATATTTGAAACTTAGACATGGAAGATTTGGAAGCATAAACATTGTGTGGTCCAAAGGTCTGTTATCATAGGAAATATCACATAGAGTTATGGTACACAGAATTAAAGTCAGCTAAAATAATATTTATTAATTATATGTACATCTTTCTTTTTTTCTTCTTCTTTTTTTTTGAGTAATATTCACCTGGACTTAAACTAAAAAAGTTACATTTACACATTTTTGACATTTTTAATTTTAATTGTTAGAATTCAGAGCAAGTTCCTGGCCCCACTTCTCTACATGCCCATCTCGATGTACTGTATAAGGCGCACTAAGTGAAAACAAAAACAGTGAAACAAAACAGTCAGATAAGTCAAATTTTACTCAACTCATTCTTCTTGCTTCCTCCACTTCCGTACCAGTGATTCATTAACGTTGAATTTTCTCGCAGCTGCTATATTCTCTTGTTGTTGCAGTATATTAATGACTAACCTCGTATTGTGGATGGATTATCTTAGTTGTTCTCCTGACTGAAGTTTACAGAATCCTGCCATGCGATTGCATTTGTCCCCAACATCGGGAACCTTCACATTAACTTTTATCAAGTGGAAAAAAATTAGCATTCATCCTCCAGCTTCACTGTGTTTGTTATGCTAACATAGCTGTGTCGCTAGCAATCAGGTAGCACATCATTATATACCAGCTAGTCCAACTTCAGTAACCCTACAAAAGTCACATAGTATATCATATTTCGGTGGAAACTAGCGAGCTAACTTCCTGCTAACTTCTAACTCCATTAAATGTATTACATTCTGTTTTCATGGATGCCTGGATATTAAACTTAATTGTTACACCTCATAAAGCAGCAACACTGATCATTTTATTAAAGATGAAAGAATTTAGACAGTTTTTAACTCTCAGTGATGCTGCAGTTTTTTGGACCTGAAGTGGGCGGAGTTTTGGACCTAGATTACTCCACAAGGCTCCTGACTACGGTAGCCATAATGCTCCGACAATCCATCAACCGGTCCGGCTTCGTAGCTTACCAAAGATGTACTAAAACATTTTTTGACAGATTTCTGAGTGCCATGTACCACATAAAATCGGTTTGAGGCCAGTAAGGACAACCAGAATTCATACATAACACACACCGGATTATAAGGCGCACTGTCAATTTTTGTGAAAATTAAAGGATTTTAAGTGCGCCTTTTAGTGCCGAAAATACGATAGATGTTTGTGTGGTATACTATACTATTATACACCACATTCTATAAGCAGAAAAGCATTGTCTTATAGTTAGGTCCATATATATATATTTGGACACGTTTTGTTTTTCTACCTGTTTACAGAAACATATTTATAGTTATATAATGACCTTAACAGAAGTTATATAAGTGGACATAATGTGTAGACCAGGGCTGCCCAATCCCAGTCCTCGAGAGCTACTATCCTGCAGCTTTTAGATGCATCCCTACTCCAACACAGCTGAATCAAATGTTTGATTACCTCTTCAGCATGCCACCGTGTTTGGCAAAGGCCTGATAACAAGCCATTCATTTGATTCGGGTGTGTGGGAACAAGGATGCATCTAAAAGCTGCAGGACGGTAGCTCTCGAGGACCGGGATTGGGCACCCCTGTTGTAGACTCTGAGCTTTCATTTGAGGCTGTCTTCATTTAAATTTGAGGAAGGGTTTAGAAGTTTCAGCTGCCCATTTTTTAAAAGGACCACAAGTAATTGGCCATGAAATGGCTTTGACTCAAAGGCAATTTCATGGGCAGGTGTGGGCAATTCCTTCATTATGTCATTACCAATTAAGCAGATAAAAGAAGTTGATTTGAGGTGTGGTGCTTGCATTTTGGAAGATTTTGCTGTGAACAGACAATATGTGGTTGAAACAAGGATCACTTGTTTCACCTGCATGGAAAGCAGGTGAAACAAGTGATCCTTACACTGCAGAAACAGAAGAAAACCACCATTATCCGTGGTGAAGAGAGCCCTTCACAACAGCCAACCAGGTGAACAACACTTTCCAGGAGGCAGGCATATCAATATCCAGGTCTATAATAAAGAGAAGACTGCATGAAAGTAAATACAGAGGGTTCATTGCAATATGCAAGCCACTCATAAGCCTAAAGAATAGAAAGGGTATACTGCAATTTGCAAAAAAAAAAAAAATCAAAAAAAGGCAGCACAGGTCTGGAAAAACATCCTTTGGACCGATGAAACCAAGAACAACCTCTTCCAGAATGAAAAGGAGGAAACCCAGCAGCTGGTGATGTCCATGAGTTCAAGACTTCAGGCTGTCATTGGGTTTTCAAACAAGTATTAGAAATGATTGATTTTACTAATGGTTTTACTAGTGAAAGATTTTACTTTCAGTTCTTTGTCCAATTACTTTTGAGCCCCTAAAAAGAATGGATTGTGTTAAAGTTGCCTCTGCACGAAGACTGTAGGTGCTACCATTACTTTTTTTCTCAGTTTAATTTTAATGTGAATTTTGACACAAGAACATAACTTTATAACAAAGAACAGATGTGTTGCTTGGAAGAGCCAGCTGTAGGACTCAGGATGACTGAGGATAAGGGCTGAACAGATGGAGTGAAGGGCAGGCGATGGTGGAAGCATGGTTGGTTGGATGGACAAGAAGCAGCGAGCCATAGCAGAAGCAGTGTTAAGTAGGAGTGAAGGTTTGTCTTTAAGGGTTAGGGTTAAATATGCAAACTATTGCATCCCATATGTTTTTCTTAACACCTTCTCTTGACCTTGACGGAAAATGTCATAAGGCCCCCAGGAAAGAAGAGGAATTTATGAAACCATAACCATTTGTAAACACTTAGGCTTTATAAATATGCATCAATGGCAGATGCAGCTCATTAGACTTGTACAATGTGGAGAAAGTTTTGGACCATTCCTCCTACAAAACTGTTTTAGTTTATCCATATTTCTAGGATGTTTTCAATGAACAGCTCTTTCCTCATCATGCCATAACATCTCACTTTTTAAGGTCAGCACTCTGACTTGGCCATCCCAAAACATGAATTTTCATTCTCTTTCATCCATTCTGTTGTTTATTTACTAGTGTGATTTGGGTCAGTGTCTTCTTGTATCACCCAGGCTCTCCTAAACTTCAGGTCATGAACTGTTGCCCTGAATTGTGCTTTTAAAAGTTCAAGATACAATTTTGAATTAATCAGTCCCTCCATCAGGCCCCGAGGCCAAACATAGCTATGTGGATTTTTGCCAGAAAGTTCCAATTTTGTCTCATCTGTCCATGAAATATTTGTCCCACAAGCAAACCGGAAATGTGCTGCTTTATTTATTTATTGTTGGACAGCCATTGTGACCTTCCATTAACACCATTCCTAGTCAGTGTTTTTCATTGACACACAACACAAAGATTTAGCAAGGTGTAAAGCTTTCTGCAGGTGTTTTACTGTCAGTCAGTAGTTGCGGTATTGATGTGATATTTACAGATTGTCCATTTACTCAGTTTGTAGACAGCTTGTTTCAGTGCCAGCTGATGCATACCGTTGCATATGCTATTGTAACTTTTCCACCTTTGTCCACCCTTAAAAAGCTTCTGTTAAAGTCATTTTAGTGTAATTAAGGAATAATTTCTGTCTTTTTTAAAAAGAGCACACTTGGTGAGTAGTAATAATCAGCAAGTATCAGCAGCATAATACACAAAAACTATCTAAGTGGGACTGTGTTGTCAAGTTGCATTAACAGGACAAGTCTTTTTTGATTGAACAGTCAAAAGTAGAGCAGCTTGTCTAATTAATTATGAGATTGTTTGACAGTGTAACAGTACATCTCGCTGACAGCAGGCAAACTTAATGGCTTTCTAGTGTCTGCAGTGTTGCACTTTCACTCTCAAAAATAAACACACGACATCCACAGTCTAAATAAAGATCTGTTGGAAGACGAAAACAAAACTGGGTGTATTTTCCCTAGTGAAGACTATGATTTAATACACATGGTTATATAACTAAGTTTTTGTGCACAGAAGTAGAAATGAAGGACAAATCTGGGCGTATTGATTGTCTAGGTATTGTTATATTTATGGACACTGCATGTGTCATGTCTTCACTGTGACTATCCTCTGTGTCACTTTAAATTTAATAGTGATATAACATGGGTTTGCACTTTAGTAGGTGCTATTCATAGCTTTGCAAGAGGTAACAACCTCATGTTGTACATTGGACAGTTATGTAGGGAGAGACTGAGTGAGGTGAGAGAACAGACAAAAACAATAAGAATGAGTTTTTGGATGAGTATGTAGTAAGTTGCCTTGTTGCCTCTGCTGCCCTTATGTACTTTCTCATTAAGGGACTGTAACCCTACACAGTTCAGTGTCGTATTCAAACAATTTCCTCTGATGTGCAGCTTGGTAATAACAAAATGTTAATTGAATTAAGCTTGCATATAGGCAATCAATCTGCTCTGTAGCTGAATCGGAGCCTGAAGTTACAGATATTTATTGGTATAGTCTAATTTGTTTCCAGCTAGAGAAACATTTTTGGTTCACATGAACTTAAAGATGTTCTTGTAAATGTAATAATGTAATTGTGGTAATGTGCGTGAATTGCCTGAATTGCTTTTTGTTTCTCCTTGTTTAATAAAATGTATCGTGAACACAGGGCCTCAAAAAGACAAACATCTAATATATAGATCATTATAACATATAGAATATATTAACTGATACAATTTGTATTAAACTGGTTAAAGATTTTTGGCAGTTAAAGTGACAAAGCCGTCCTTAATTAGGTTCTCTTATATTATTATCCTTATTTTTTATGTTCACGGCTTAATAGGTTAACAATTTATATAGGTTGACAAGTTCCCAGAATGCACTGGGCATATGCAAAGCTCTGCAAAAATACAAGTTACCAAGAAAACTAAGAAATCATAGTTCAGATACAATCTTCTCCACTTTTCTTGAATACACAGGGCTTATTGAGGTGGTGGTTTGCACCTTCTCAGAAGCTGCGCTTGCTCATCTAGATAGAGAGGAGCATGCTGGAAGGAAGGTCGGCCACGTTGTGCTACAAGCTCTGTTGGAACTGCTTCACAACGTCCTTAAGCAAACATCAGTTGTTGTCCGCTCTGCCCTGCAGGTATGAACACTCAGACACACCTGATGAACACAAACTTTACAGCTGACTGATGTCCCTTTGTGATTTCATCATGGTCCTCAAAGATGCACAGAGACCAAACAAGAACTGCCATGTCTGAAAGATCATCGCTAGTGATGTGAGCTGGTTCTCCACCTACAACCCAGCAGTTTTCAGTTAAAGAGTCACACCGGAAGAGATCCAGTGCGCACACTGCAGAGGTGCAAGTGCAAGAGGAAATAACAGGAGTTTAACTGAAATAGCAGCCAAACTAGAAACTGTGTGAGCATACCAGAGAAGGAGATCATGAAAGGGAGATCATTCAAATTTAAATCAAGTGTGTTTTTTGATATTTTTATGGGCCCATTCCCCTAAAAGAAACTTAAAGAAAACTAAATATTAAGGAATCCAGGCATAATTTCAGTATCACACACTTTCAAAACGCTCAACGGTCCTTGCAAAGACATCCTTAAAGAGCCACAAGCCTTAATTTAGAAAATAATACTAAATTATTGTTATTTGTTAGGTTTTTTTGGCTTCATCTTGTGAAATTGGTCATTTTAGGCTCATGTATGTCCTACAGTGATTCACCACTTTTTGCCAACTTCATCTTTGGTGAGTGCGGATTCACCGACAGAATCACAAAGTGTACTTCCTCAAAATGTTGCCCTTGTATCACGTCCCTGAAGGCATGTGTCTGTGTGTGTTTGAGTGTGTGTGCCCCTTGAAGTATACAGTGAAAGCTAGCAGGTTTAAGCAACTGCAATATTGAAGTTGTGGACTCAGGAGAAAGGGTACGAAGTCCTGAATCCCTGGGACGCACACACACACACACACACACACACACACACACACACACACACACACACACAAGCATACACAGAGGGGCCTGTCTGGCTATGTCCCTGCGGCCTCATTATCACCGCTGGCTTTGTCCTTAGCTTGCCTCACTACATACACATCCACGCGCACACACTCACACTCTTGGATTGGCACACACACATCAGCCCCCATCTCCCCATAGTGTGCACCCCAGCCCAGCACATACATATTAATGCCCGGACAGGGGGTGGGGGGACTAAAGTGAAGGCAGGGTGAAAGACTGGGTGAAAGAGAGGACAGAAAAAAGAGAAGGATGGGTGGAGAGATAGGAGAGACTGAGATGGAAAAGGCAACAAGCAGAATCTGCAGCGGAAATCAATTCTGCGAGAAATGCAAAGCTCATTAAAAAGAAAACTTCAGCCCAAACCAAATTCATTTGGGTAATAAGGTCTGATAAGGAGAAAGGACGTGACTAGACCGTTTTTCTCAAAATATTACTCAGTTGGTCAAGAGGGAGCATGTCAGAGATTATATACAGTACACTACAGAAGGAAAAAATAGGACAAGCGTAGCAGAGACTTTGGGAAAGAGACAAAATATGTGCTGTTATTAGCCCATCACTAATTGGCCTGAAGTTCCACTACAGGCAGGAAGTAAAGTAAAATAAGCCAAAGTAAGTCACAGAGGTGCTAATAATGAGGGGCAAAAGAGATGATGCCTTAAGAATGAGATGCAAAAATAACTTTGTGGCAAAAAAATGTTCAGCTTATGTTATCCTGAGAACTTAAAGAAGGTTTAGAATAACATAATATGTAGAAAAAAAACAATTCCCTGTCTTCATCTATCAGGGTGTCTTTCTGTGTATGTCTCAGTTTGTCAGAATAAGTCTTGGCAGGTCCCTGGATCCATCGTTATTGACTGTCAAATCTCTATAAATGATTTAATGTGTGTGTGTGTGTGTGTGTGTGTGTGTGTGTGTGTGTGTGTGTGTGTGTGTGTGTCTTTGCACGTGTGTATAGAGCCAGAGGCTATCTTGTCCAGCAGCAGAGACGGAGGCAGCAGAGAAGCTGCTCCGAGCCAACAGACCCCTGAGCCAACTCAACACACACCTCATTCACATGGTGAGACCAACACTCACAGATCCTGTGCATGTCTGTGCATGTAAATGTGTTGTATGCATATATATTTTTTATGGTTGTTTCTGTTTGCATGTTTATATACATGTAAATATATGCTGGATACAGTGGCAAATATTGTGTTCTTGTACATAGTGCATTTAAAAAATGTATGTTTTTTAAATGCACTATGTTGTGCAGAGCTGATGCTCAGGTGGATAGGGCACATATCACCTGGTCTAAAGCAGCTTCCTGCTTGTATCCAGGCCAACCAGCCCTGGGTTCCAGTGTTAACACATGTCCATCTCTATTATGCTACCTGAATTAGATAAAAGTGCCAGTAACCAAAACATTAGTGACCTATACAGCTCAAAGTAGGTTATTCTTTAGTTATACACTAGGTCTCCAAATAAATCCATTAAGATCAGCAAAATAATCAGCTGCATCTGCATCTTGACTAAATATTTCTAGAGAAATATCTCACTGCACCACACTGTATGTGTTTCTTTGTTATTGTAGGAGTTAACTGGACAGTTGAAAATGTGTGCATGGACCATCTAATTCCTTCAATTAGAAAAGCTGTGTGCTTCGTGAATATTGTGTGTCTATTTAAAACTGATGATTGTCTACGTTTACTGAAGTAATTGGTTTGCAGTTATTACAGTTATTAATCCCAGGCATGTGCAGTGTCTGCTGGTACTAACACAGAACCTGATGAAGTCTAAAAACAGAAAGATAAGCATTGCAACAGTGTTGGCCTTTTGTTATCTCTGCAGCCAGTCAAACATCCATACCCACTGACACTAAACACAAATAAAATTGTGATTAACGATATGGCGCCTTGCAATGAGATCGCACCAGCTGGAATGCTCATCAACATGTTGATGTTCTTGCCCCTGAGTATTTAGTAGTCATTAGTACATTATTATATGAGTACTCGGTACTTAGGCCAAAAAGAGAGGGTACTATGAGGCAGCACACTTCTGGGAAGTCTACGCCAGAGAGATGAAAGAGGAGGAGACTGTGGGGGATTTTAAAAAAAAAGAAGTCTCCAGGGATGGAAACAGACACTACACTTGACACATCGAGTGTTGTTTGGAAAAGTAGGCTGACCGAGCAGCTGACACACCCCCAGCCTTTGCATATATCTATAGATAGATAGATGGATAGATTGGAATCAAATGTAAAATTGAGAAGTAAAGGTATGAAATTCTCCTTGGACTCTGGCCACATTGTTATTAGTCTCATTGTGTATTCTCCCATTTAGTATCTTTTGGTTGTTGTTGTACTTTCACACTGACAATGACAGAGGATACAGACAGGATACTTTTTTTTTTTTAACAATGATTTATTGATTTTTTTGGAACAACACAAACAGCAACAAATCAGCACAACAAATACAAATAAGAAAAAGAGAAGAAAAAAAAACCAAATATAGGTACATGAGTTACAGATGTACATGTCTGGGTCAAAATATGTACAGTGTTTCACATTTGAAGTCAAGGGAAAGAAAAAAGGAAAAAAGTGGGGGAGAGAAAAAAAATACAAACATTAATTATTGTGTTTAAAAACAAAATGTGATCCCCCTTTATGTAATAGCACAGCAAGGTCACGAGGTTGGTGATCAAGCAAAGGCCGCCATATCCTACAGAATGCATCACAATTGCCCTTTATGATGGCACTAAGGCGCTCCATTGGCAGCACCTTGAACATTTCTCTGTACCATTGTGTAACAGTGGGGGGCTGTCTCTGAATCCATTGAAACAGTACACATTGCCTCGCTAAATGTACCTAACAAAGCATCTGTACAGAAGACAGAGAAAGGCCTTCTATAGATAGACCCAGAACGAACAGCACAGGGTTCAGTGGGATTGACTGGTGAAAGATTGAGCGAAGCTCTATAGCAATACTTTTCCAAAATCTAGTAATTAAAGGACCTTGCCATATGCCATTTCCGTATTGCACTTTACACAAAATGGAGAAATCTGAGTGATGAATTTTATTTAGAAACTCTGGCGTACGCTGCAGTCTATGTAAGATTCTGTAATGGCTTTCCTGGAGTCTGTTACAGGAAAACAATTTCTTGGCAGATCTAAAAGTTTTGGACCATGCTTCTGCACTAAGCTGAACTTCGAGATCGGTTTCCCACCAAACCCTGGCCTTATCAGTGGTTACAAAATTCAAAGACAATAATTTCCCATAACAAAGAGCGATAAATTTCTTTTTTGTGATTATTTCCTCATTAAATTTAAGAAGAAAGCTTTCAATAGGATTCAAAACAGGTTGATTGGCTGGAAATGTAAGGGAATTTACAAAATGCCTTACTTGCAGGAACCCAAAGAAGTGTTTCTGTGGTAAATTATATTTAATTTGAATTTGATTAAAGGCCATAAAACTACCCCTTTCAAACAGATCGCAAATAAATCGTATATTTTTAGAACGCCAATCATCAAATATACTAATGCCAATACCTGGAAGGACAGCTTTATTCCTAATTAGAGGCTGTAGACAGGATACTTTTATGTTTTGTTGACTGCCAATTTTACTTGGATTCAAAAGGTACCTGGGTGCCATTACTGATTCTACAGATTTTAAGATCCAGTACACATAGTAAAAATCTTGATGCAGAACCTGAGTATCCAAAATAGAAACATGTTCTCTTATACTTTAATCTCTGCATGTATTCACTGATTATCTGTCCATGCAGCTGTCTGCTGAGAACCAGGAAATCTGGGAGGAGTCTGTTCATTGTCTGTCACTGCTGGTCCAACTTTACTGTGGAGAGGGTCCTGACTGCCTGTCGCCTTCCTGCTTACGAAGCTTCTCGCATGTGCTGCGCACTCGCATGCACACTGAGACCCCCCGAACACAACGTACAGCTCTTAAAATTATTAAACGACTAGTAAGTAAACATCCACACAGACGGACAATCTGAAAAGCTTAACTGAACACACTGACATTTTCACATACACACGCTCATCAGAGCTCATGAACATTTTTTTGGATGTATATTTTGTGTTCCATTTGTGTTGAACCTTGGTTCTATATTTGTAATTTGAGCGCCCTGCAGATTTAACATATTGGAATTATAGACACATACATATATGTGTATAAATTATACAAACACAAGAGTCAGTTCAACTGTGCTGCTGTTCTGAAAAAAACGTGTACTTTCACCCAAACGAGACTGACAGAGAGAGCAAGGCAGAGAGGGAAAAAATTTTGGTTTTCTATCTGCCTCTCACTCTGTTCAAGTGTCTGTCCAATTTTGTCTCACAGTCAGAATGATTTGTACTACAGACCAAAGCTAGCCTGTAGTACAGTGTACTGCAGTAAAACACATTGAAATTTAGTAAGGCTAAGGCTCCCCAAACAAAACGGAAACATTATTTTAATCTGGTAGCAGTGGGAAGGACTGAGCAGCTGCGGCTGGCATTCAGGATTTAACAAGGCGACAGTTTCTTAACCCTGACAAACAATAGCAACATTTTATGTGTCTAAAACAATTTAATATTAATAGGAACATGCTGTGAATTGAGTGAAAATGTTGGCCCACCTACTGATTCATTTGAATTTAAAACCTTGTTAAAATGTTAACTAAACTGCCAGTAAAATATTGTCTGACTAAGGCAGTTAGTTGTGCAGTAGTTAGATATTTGGTAGACATCTTACATGCTTTGCTAGCAAATGAGTTCACATTGAATGTTTTTGTGTTAAAAGATTTAAGCCCAGTGCCAGCCCTCGTGGCCAAGTAGTTTACGGTTCATGTGACATAGCCGCAACCCGGGTTTGATTACTTTCTCAGTTCAACCTCACCTATTGTCTTCACCCTGCCAGGTGGGTGGACGGTGTGGACACCCAAGTTTGTGAATGCAATAACTTGAGAACGAAGTAATGGAGCACTTTCAGATTGATACCATAAGTGCATCTACTAAAAATCTCTGACAAGTTGGAATCTCAGTGACTTTGAACTCGAGGTCAGGGGTCAGAGGTCAAGTGTTCTGAAAATCTTCTGAATGTGAAACAACGTAGGAGTTTCAAATTGACACCTTAAGTGTATCTACTAGGAGGCTGAGGGCTATCACTGACTGCCATCGTTATTTTTAAACCATGATGTCAGCGTTATTTGGACATTAATTGCGTTGTTCTAGTTGTCGAAACTTAACCATACTTAAGAATAAGTTAAGTGTGTTGATATTGGATTTTTAATCAATCTGGTCTCTGAATGTAACCCACTGAATTTAATTTAATTTACTGAATACATATCTTTTTAGAGATTACTGCTAAAAAAAGAGGCAGGGTTGGTGAGTCGGTCCAGTAAAAATGCATTTTAGGAAATCAACATGAAGTTAGAAAAAATAGCTGATTGTTCAGCAGACCCCTATGAATTATGTAAAATGCATTTGTAATGTTTTGGCTTGGCCGCAGGGTCATGAGATTCTGCATGTGGGATACAAGGTCAGCTGTCACCCTGAGATCACATGATCTGACTGAAGGCTGTGCCTGGAAGCTACCGTGTGTGTGTGTGTGTGTGTGTGTGTGTGTGTGTGTGTGTGTGTGTGTGTGTGTGTGTGTGTG